TTCTAATTTTCTGAGGCATTACTGTTATGATGAAAACAAGAAAGGACAGAAACTTCTTAAGAAACAGGGAAGGGAATTACTCCTAAACAGAAGTGTCAATAATTGCACAGAGCTTTCCAGAGAGAGGAAGACTTCCAATAACAAAATCAGCAAATGACTTTGGAAAGAAAGGCTGGATTTGCAAGTTCAGGGTGCCACGCTGTTTTTAGCATAGTGAATATTTACACGGCTCAAATAGTGTATACATTGGGTCGGTTTGATCTATTTTCAGTTTGTGTTTGGGTTATTCGTCTTTTCGGGTTTTATAGACAAAGCAATGGAACGAATAAAAGTTGTACTGAAGCTGCTCTCCTAGAAAAAAAGGTTTTCCACTATCTATTGATAAATGATAATGGTAGATACAAGCAAAATAATGCAGAGTTGAAATGGGGTAATATGAGATTTTGATAGCATAAAGAAGAAGAAAGAGAAAGTTACCAAGAATTAATAAAAGGAAAAAGGTCACTAGGAATTAATTGAAAGAAAAAGATCATCAGGAACTACAGAAAAAGAAAGAAAACAGAGGAGAAGTCGTCTTCTGCTTGTCCTGAAGGCAGCAAACGGAATAAATGATAAACAGTGCAGATGACTGGGATCGAAAACAGAGGAGAAGTCGTCTCCTGTTTGTCCTAAAGGCAGCAAACAGAGGAAAAGAAAAAGATCATCAGGAACTGCAGAAAAAGAAAGACAACAGAGGAGAAGTCGTCTCCTGTTTGTCCTAAAGGCAGCAAACGGAATAAATGATAAACAGTGCACATGACTGGGATCGAACTCCCATCTTTGGGAGCCAAAGTTGAGACTTTGCCGATGCACCCCCTCCATCCTTAATAGATCCGCCCTTGTTTGAAATACAATAGGGTTAAACAACTTCTAATGCAGTTATAACTGCCAATTCCCTATTTCTGATTTCACAATTTGGATGGAAACAAATACTTCATTGTTGAAGTGATCCTTGCCCTCAAGGATGAAATGTGGAAAGGAAATTTGGATCCTCCAGAAATTATAAGAGTTTGAATATGCTGCAACAAAGTTTTCAATTGATCCCTTATCCAGTAAAGGATCGCCATATATTAGCATGGAACTGTTATTGCTCTGTTCTTTTACATTGCTAGCAGAAGAAACTGGCCTTGTAGAAATTGGGAAAATTGGAATCTAAAGGATGACAGTGTTTGCTTCCTCGTCTAAATCCACATGTCTCATTATCCTTTTCTTTTACGAAGAAAATTCCTGGGGAGCACTATTGTAGAACAGTTATAACTGTCAATTCCCTAACTATTGATTCCACGATAGGCTCGTAACACGCATTTTCTTTTACTTTGCTTATTTTGATATTTGTCCTCAGTACCAGCAGTCACATGCCTACTCCCAGGCCAAACTTGTTTGTTCTAGCTGCCTCAAGATTAATTCTTGGAAAAAGAGGGAGCAAGCCTTTATAAAGTAGAATATTAAATAAGGAAGTTCCATGAATAGATAGAGTCAACGGTACAACAAACAACGCTGCCTTCACGCCAATTAGCTTCTGAGGTTGAGCAGTCTCAGTTTTACTACAGGATTTGCGAATGAATGTTGGGCTGGGCTATCTCGAATGGCGTGAGCAGCACGCAAGGAGACACACACGGTTTTGGGGGGATCTGCTCGCCCTAATTACACCCCAATTGACCCCAAAAAGTGTCCCTAGGTTGTTTGGTTAGTGGATCTCTTTGTAACGTCATATAGTCCCTTCTGCTACTTAATAAATGATATTTCAGTACAAATGAGGTATTATCAAAATTAGAGATTCTCATGCAGTTGGTGCAGACTTTGAAGACCAGAGTTCAAATCCCATCAGAAACAAATAAAAAATACTGGGTGATTCTTCCCATGTGTCTAAACCTTGATGGACAGAGTTATTCGGCATTTGTCACACAATTTCTAACCAAAGTGTCTCCTGTCAACACTAGATCTAATGTGAGTGTGTCAATCACGAATAATCTTCTTCCTGACTAATTTGGGGTTGTGGCATAGTAATTGTTGTAGTTGTAGTTGTTTTATCCTGATTTTAGTTAATAACTCATTTAAGTGATCAATCCTGCGCTCTGATGGGCAAGTTGAAAAACCTTATAGAGTTTGATCTTTGACATTAAATTGAACTACTCTTCAATAATCTTAGTGTTTCTACTAAATAAATGGATGAAGCCTAAAGCTTTAGCACTTACATGTTCAGATTGTGGGACATGGTTTCGTTCTTTTGTTTTTCTTTTTCTGTTTCAGTGTTTGTGAGACTTGTCCTTATTCCTTGCTTACTATACTGTTCTTCTCGTTCCCAGCTATGCTTTTCAGACCCCGGAAGGTTGGAACACAGAAGGCCGATACAGAGCTCTTGGTTACATGCGTCCTTTGGCAATCTGGGCAATGCAATGGGCATTAAACCCACCTAAGATTCCCAAGCAAGAGGTGAAACCAGAATTGGAGGCAGATTCATTGTCTAGACAACATGCTGGTTTTCAGACGGTAGCTCGTTTTCTAAAGCTGCCCAAAGAGAAAGATGCTAGAAGTGTTTTTCAGGTCCTTTTCGATTACACCTGTAAAAGAATGACAAAATAAAGGAGGCTCTCTGAAAGAGCCTGCAATTCCCAGATACCAGAACAATAATTATTTTTGATCAATTCATAGTACATAATCTTATTATTCATCTGAGTAATGGGCGGAAAAGGTATAGTTACAAAATGATGTATCTGGTTGGACAAGTCAGAATTCATGTTGAAAGCCAGTTGCTAACTTGTGCTTTGATGGTAAGTGTTTCATAGATTTTAACAGACTATGTGCCCTTTCCGATTTTGTGATGCACAGGAGTGCAACTGTCCAAAACCCTGAAATTTCAGTTACCTCAATGTGCATATATCTTAAAGGTTTTAGAGCTCAGAGTGCCTTGATAGTTGGTCTTTAGCGATAGAAGTAACAATGAGAAAGCCATTGCTGGCATGAAAGCACAAGAATCCATTGGGCTTTCATGTCCGCGCTATTGAATTTCCTGCCCCGACATTTTGTTGGCACTGTTTGCATAAAATCCTGCATGTGTTACTGGACCCGAGGAGATTTATCTCTCTTTGAAACGAAAGCTTATTCTTGCTCGTTTAGAGGAAAGTAGTATTTTTTTCTCCTGCAGTTAGAGAAATATTGTTGAATTACTAGCTAGGCTTTTTATTGGCGCCTTTCGGAAAGACGTAAAAGTGATGGAAAACAAAGAATATCTTTTACATACCCGTCAGGTTTATCGTTTTGGAAAATGATAAAAAGAAGGATACCCCTATTGTCACTCCAAAAAACTCTCCCTAATGAACTGAACAATCAGTGGATTTCTACCAATCAAAGAAAAAAGTAATAATCTGAATAAGGAATTTTTAAATCGGCTTGAAGTTCTAGACAAGGAATTTTTTTCTCTCGATATACTCGAAACAAGGACTAGATTGTGTAATGATGATACCATAAAAGAATGCGTGCCTAAAATGTATGATCCTTTGTTAAATGGACCATATCGAGGAACAATCAAAAAAAAGTTTTCACCTTCATTCATAAACAAAACTTCGCTATTGAAAGCCAATCCTTTGACTTAGTAAAATGGGGGACTGAGGGTTTAATTAGAGAATTTTTGTATAAACTGTAATCCAGTACTATGGAGGAAAAAAGAAGAAGAAGAATTTCATCTTACAAGTTACAACCAAATTAAGAAAGCTAATAATATAATTTACTGGAAAAGTGAAGGTTGCTCAGTTGGTAAAGCACCTCCACCCACGACCGTTAGGTCCTGGGTACGAGTCACGCTGGAGGGGAAGTATGGAAACACTATAGATCCTCCTGAATTGGGAGGGAATTTGAGGAAAAAAATATAATATACTACTCCCTCCGTTTCAATTTAGATGAGGTAGTTTGACTCGAAATAGAGTTTAAGATAAAAAAAAAGAAGACTTTTGAAACTTGTGGTCTTAAAAGTTTAAGGGGAAAAGCTTTGTGGGGCCATGGCGTTTGTGTGCTTATATAAGCTTCTCATTAAAGGTACAATGGATAAAATGAAGAGTTTAAAGTTTATGATTCGGTATAGTTTCAAAGTTTTAAGCTGGAGCCTCACGTCATGGAACGAATGTTTTGTTTTCAAATCAGCTTCGAAGAATGGCCGGGAATCGTCTTCCTTTGAAAAAATATATTTTTCAATTGGCTCGGCTTACTTACATAATCAAATCAAGTTTCAAGTCGGTCAGGTCAAGGTCAATTGTTTCAAAGGAAGAAAATAAAGGCCGAAATCAAGATGAATGTTGACCCGATAAATCACCTAACTTTGTATAGCGGAATTATTTTCAATTGTAGAAACGTGTCATTCTTTTTGGAACGGACTAATAAGAAAATTGTGTCGTCTAAATTAAAAGAGAGGGAGTAGTAAAAAGAGGTTCCGGAGGAAGACTCCACTGAAGCTTGTCCTATTACGGATTCGAACCTGGTATTAATTGTAACCTTTTGACCATTGGCAGTTTTCCTGTATATGAGAACTGATAATACTACTTGTCTTTTAAAATTATTGCACGGCCCCTTAATTAAGTTATTTAACACTGATAGTAAAAACATTTGTCTATACTATTTTATCTCTTAAACATCTTATTTAATTAACACTCTACTAATCAAATTTGTAAGGCCGAAATTAAAAAAGAAAAGGTAATACAATGCTTCGTGTTTTTGAAAATGTCAAATATTTTTTGAGCAGATTCAGTTTATCAAATGTAGTAGTAATAATTAATTACTGTTAATCAAGTTTAAATGTGACCTTCAAACATCCCCCAAGAAAATTCTCCTTTAGTCAAAATGCAAAGAACATGAAATTAGTTTAATGTGGCAGTTACTGTCCGTTTATTTCCAAAATTCTTGGATCATCAGACACACCCCTTATAAGTTGGATCTTTTGTATACAAAATCATACTCCCTTTTTACTTTTTCTTTCATTTCAAAGAGAAAAAATTTATCAAAAAATCTCAATCTTCCTATTGATTAGAGCGGTTTTCCATCATATGGGAAACCGCTCCTTCAATATTATCCCAGTTGATCCTTTGAAATTTCTGTCAATATACAACTTTTGCTATCAAATTTCCTACTTTTGTATTGTCAGTAAATTGTTTGGGACTGCCCAGTTTTTGTTTTATGATATAGTACTTGTGCATTATGCAGTTTAGATCAAATTTAGGACAAGTTGAGATCTTTAGTCTAGATTGTGAATTGGGTTTTGACACCCAAATCAAGATTGATCATTTGATCTTAGGTATACCATATATATACCATAAAGTGAGGAAGAAAATATGGCTGAATTTAGCAAATGTTCATGTCCTCAACCTACTAAGTGGTTGAAGGGAAAAGTGATAGGATCAGGATCATTTGGGAGTATTCATTTGGCTATGAACAAAGCGACCGGGGGACTTTTCGTCGTAAAATCTGCAGACTCTGAGGCTGGACTAAAGTGTCTTGAAAATGAAGTAAAAATTCTTGAGAATTTGGATTCACCTCATATTGTCAAATTCATAGGTAAAGATTTCTTTTTTGAAGCAAATGGTAAGAGAAAGTTGAGTCTTTTTATAGAGTATATGACAGGGGGAAGTTTAGCTGATGTGGCTGAGAAATTTGGAGGGTTCTTAGATGAAGAAGTTATTAGTTTGTATACAAAAGGAATTCTTAAGGGTCTAAAGTATATTCATGAAAATGGGATTGTACATTGTGATTTGAAGTGTAAGAATATACTATTAGGAACTAGTGGAGAAATCAAATTGGCTGATTTTGGATGTGCAAAGAGAATAAAAGACAATAAGGTAAATGGTAGTCTTAAATCTTTGTCTAAATCTATTGGTGGCACTCCTTTGTGGATGGCACCAGAAATTTTGAGAAATGAAGAGTTAGATTTTGCTGCTGATATTTGGTCTTTAGGTTGTACAGTTATCGAAATGGCGACGGGGAAGCCCCCCTGGGGAGGGGATATATGTACAAATCCTTTGGCTGCAGTTTTGAAGATTGCTTGTAGTAATGATATGCCACAGTTTCCAGCACATTTTTCTGATGATGGTTTGGATTTCTTGGCTAAATGTTTGGAAAGGGACACTAAAAAGAGATGGAGAGTTGCACAATTGCTTGATCATCCATTTGTATCAAAGATGTCAAAAGTCAAGAATTTAGAAAAGATTGATGCTAGTACACCTGCTAGTGTTTTAGATGCTAGATTTTTCTCTGAGATGGATTTCTTAGATGAATCAAGTGATGAAGATGATTCTATGAGTGGAAATCCATTGTCAATGAGATGCGATCGCGAGTTTTGGATCTCGAGAAGAGGAGGGAAAAATGATTTGGAATCATCAGAAAGTTGGATCACTGTGAGAAACTAGTTGAGGAAGATGTAAATACATTATGTGAATTTTGTATGATATGTGGAAATGTACAAAAGATAGGGGAGCCTGGCACCGGAGGCGGAGCCAGTATTCTAACCTTACGGGTTCTAGATTTATTATTTATACATATTTCATGAATTCAAAATACCAAATATACTGTTTGAGAAAAAGCGACGGGTTCGGCCGAACCCGTAGGCGACTTGTGCCTCCGCCCCTGCATGACAAGCACAACGGTAAGAGTTGTCATCGTTTGATCAAGAGATCATGGATTCGAGTTGCGGAAACAATCTCTTGTAGAAATACAATAATAGACCTATTTTAGTTCAGGTATCCTTGAACATCATGCATAGCATGAACTTTGAACATCATAGTATTTTTCTCTTTAGTATATGAGGCTACTTAGGGATGTGAATTGTACAATTGGCACACTGCTAAGTTGATTCTCATTGAATAACAAATCAGTTAGCAAATGCATCTTACCTTGTGTTTTAGTTGATTGACAAAATCAGTGTTCTAAATAGCAGTAGATCTAATTTAAAACAAATATTTGCTTATAATAATACCCTTGGGCCTTGACTTATATTAAGACGTATCCCAATCTGATGAGTGGTGAATTACTCAATCGTACACGATCAAAACTTAATAGCACAATGTAAGTTTTTAGCAGACTTGTTGCTATTTACACGGCTCAAATACATTGGGTCAGTTTGATCTTTTTTTAGTTTTGCTTTGAGTTATTCGTTATTTCGGCTTTTATAGACAAACCAATGTAATGAATAAAAGTTATACTGAAATTGTTCTCCTAGAAAAAAAAAAAAAAAAATTCCCCTCTTCATCGATGCTCGCTGCGGTCCACAATAAGTGACCAATTTGCCTTTTTATTTTGGTTCAAATAAGTGTCCGTTTATATAATCAAGAAAAAATTTTATTTATTTTTCCAAATTACCCTTATGTACGTATTCCTAAAAAGTCTTTTACTTCTCACATTAAATTATGCTGCAACATTTAATTAAGGGTAATCTAGTCACACTAACTATTTTCATCTAGAATTTAGTATTTTCTTAATAGGCGTGTCCAAGGCAAATTGATCACTGTAAACCGGAGGGAATAAATGATAATGGTTGATACAAGCAAAATAATGCAAAGTTGAAATGGGCTAAGATAAGATTTTGATAGCATAATGAAGAAAAACTGGGATCGAACTCATGTCTTTGGGAGCCAAATTTGGGGAGAAATTCAAAAATAGTTAGATTTACAAGTACTCATTACAAAATAGCTACAGTTTCAAAAATATAATTTAGCCACTTTTTATGTAAATCTAAATCTGAACAAAAACACTGTTCAAAATCCGGAAAAATAATCCAGCATAAGTATACTGGAACTCCTGTATAATATACTAGAGTTCTAGTATAATATACCGATCCAGCATAATATGCTGGAACTTTACGCGTGTTGGAGTCCCAACATAATATGCTGGAAGTTCATACACAGGTGCACCGATCTCCAGTATATTATGCTGGAACTTTTCGTGTTGCAGCAAAATAGTGACTATTTTCCAATGAATTTGCAAACGCTTGGCTATTTTGAATAACCTGTCCAAAACTGACTAGCCCGTGCTATTTTCACGTCTGTGTCCGCTGAGACATGGACTATAACACACTTGCAGTTTTCCTAAATCAAGCTATAATACTCATTGATTCCTTTTAGCGTGACTTGGAAACATAGTAGCTCTACTAGTAAATAACTGGACTAGCCCAATAGAAATTGGAACAAGCAGAAGAAACTATTGGGACAGCTTCAAATTTTGCTCGTTTCTCCTGGTATAGAAA